CCACCCCGTCCCACCCCACCCCACACACCTCTTTGCCTACATTCTCTATCCACCTCATCCTCATCACTCCCCTATTCCAGCTTAACTCATATCTATCAAATTGTCATCCTTCTCCACCCAGGCGTGTGGTCACCACTCCCAAGGTTTTCCCTTTTTTACCCCTTCAAGCCAGAACATAACTTTTCTCTGTACTGTATATTCACTCTGCCCTACTTGATCAATGCATTGAGGGCACTCTGGTCATTGACACTTTTATATCCGCTGATTCATTGCACATCTCCATCCTCTGGTTCATGACTTGTTTCCAGGTTCATAGCATATGAGTTATATTTAGTTCATGCAACCGCTGTAATATAATAAAATACATGAATTCAATATCAACACGACTTGGACCTGCATTTGTTTGGGTTCACCAAAACAAATGTAAAGACAGTGCATTTCATGATTCTATTACCTCTTGAAAATTTTAAGTTGATGATTTTCAAACTTGTTCAATGTTCCAACATTTTCATAATCAAATTGAAATAAATGACAATATACATGTATTGGCCGTTCATTAAATCTAGTTTTATTATACCCTCACAATGAATGTACGTATGTACGTATAAATGACAATATACATGTATTGGCCGTTCATTAAATCTAGTTTTATTATACCCTCACAATGAGTGTACGTATGTTGAAGGTCAAGGTCACTGTTACTATTTAAAAACAACAAAAATTGTCATCACTCTAACAACTTTATTCCTCGAAGGAATTTCATGAAAATTGATGCAAGTGTTTGGTATGAAAATGCCTTGAACAAGTTTGTGTTTCAGGTTTCTGTGTTGAAGGTCAAGGTTAATGTTACTATTTTTAGAAGAACTTTGTCATTGCTCTATTGACTTCATAATTGAATTTCATGGAGCTTCAGACAAGTGTTTGGTATGGCAATGCCTTGAGCAAGTCAACGTTTCGGATTTCTATGTTGAAGGTCAAGGTCACTTTTACTATTTTTATATACTTTGTCATTGCTCTACCAACTTCATTTCTGAACGGAATTTCATAAAACTTCCAAGTGTTTGGTATGATAATACCCTGAAGAAGTTCTTGTTTCAGGTTACTGTGTTAAAAGCCAAGGTCACTGATACTATTTTTAGAAAAACGTTGTCATTGCTCTATTGACTTCATTCCTCAACGGAATAAAAATCTAATTAGCCATCGAAGAATTCAGTTGCTAGAGCAGATAATGATACATCATTGAATTTTATATTCATTTCCTCATACCTGTGTAACACAATGGGCGAGGGGATGTGCATCACTCGTGATGCCTTGTTCGATTTCTTTTTTCCAGGATGGTCTGAAAGAATGGAAGAAACGGACAAGAAATGCTGTTAATTGTTAGCCTCTTTGTTGTATTGTTTTGTTAATTAAAAATTTATTTTATTTTTTAAATCTTGACTGGTGTGTTTTATGGATCATTCGATACATTGGTGCTGTGTACAACAGGAATGTAAACCGTTATCTGTCGGTTTTAGCCTATCCGTTCCCAGCCTGCTGCCTCCCACCCAGATTACAACAGGAATGTAAAGCGTTATCTGTCGGTTTTAGCCTATCCGTTCCAAGCCTGCTGCCTCCCACTCTGATTACAACAGGAATGTAAAGCGTTATCTGTCGGTTTTAGCCTATCCGTTCCCAGCCTGCTTCCTCCCACCCAGATTACAACAGGAATGTGAAGCGTTATCTGTCGGTTTTAGCCTATCCGTTCCAAGCCTGCTGCCTCCCACCCAGATTACAACAGGAATGTAAAGCGTTATTTGTCGGTTTTAGCCTATCCGTTCCCAGCCTGCTTCCTCCCACCCAGATTACAACAGGAATGTGAAGCGTTACTTGTCGGTTTTAGCCTATCCGTTCCCAGCCTGCTTCCTCCCACCCAGATTACAACAGGAATGTGAAGCGTTACTTGTCGGTTTTAGCCTATCCGTTCCCAGCCTGCTTCCTCCCACCCAGATTACAACAGGAATGTGAAGCGTTATCTGTCGGTTTTAGCCTATCCGTTCCCAGCCTGCTGCCTCCCACCCAGATTACAACAGGAATGTGAAGCGTTATTTGTCGGTTTTAGCCTATCCGTTCCCAGCCTGCTGCCTCCCACCCAGATTCAGTGTCATTGTTTTAGCAACTCATCATGTTATGGGATTTTTGTCAAACTTGACATTGGATAATGAAAACCGTAAATTAAATTATATTTCACAATGCAAAAGGCAATTGATTTGACATGCAATGTAAAGAAGTAACTTTTATGTTTGCAATTTTCACTTGGTACTTTTATGTCGATCAGTATATCAGCTTTATTGGCTGCTGAGTATTGTTAGACATTTCAAAGTTGAAAATAATTATGAAAAACATTTTGAATTTACGTGCTGTGCAACGGTATTTATTTCGATATCATTTCCAGAAGTCTATTTTTTTCAAAGAAATGCTATTTTAGAGACATTTAATCAGAATTTCCTTTGACTCTTTAAAATATTTGAGCTATGTTTTTATCCCTCAATATTTGCAAAAATATCAAATTGTCCCTTTACGGGTACAGTCAAGGACCGACGTGATCTATTCATAGAACCATGGGTCGGGAAATCACAACTTGTTACAGAAAAGAAAGATAGATGGTACCTTATTTATGTAAAATGAACAAACTGTTTTGGAGTTGATACTGTGGTATAAACAAAACGCGTTGATATTTAGCTCAAAATGTCCCGGTTTGGGCACACTGACGGTAAGGATCGTGGTCCCAAGTATATGTATGTTGCTTGACTTTATAACCTTGGCCTTTGACCCTGCTTTAGTTGATAGTTGTGGGAGCAGTGGTTCAAGTCTTCGACACATCCTTAATTGATAGCAATTTTTTTGAATACTGAATATCAAAAGAAACCCACTGGATGTAATATTCCATAGATAACCCAGCTGTCACTGAATTGAAAGGTTTGAGAAAAAACACTTTTTTTAACATCGGCCCATTGGCGGAGCAAGGGGTGTTGCTCTAGTTGCCCGGGCAACACCCTTTTTCCTGTGTCCAAAAATGATCTGGACCAATGTTTTTGAAGATTTTCCTCTATTTCATATGGGATTTCATATGGGATTTCCTTCTAATATCAACCATCCCTTGAACTATGTTTTTCTATGGCTTCCCCTTGCCAGTAGTTTGAATATCTAAGGTTGTTTCCCAAACAATGAGTCCACTACGTATACTTATACTCTAAACAATAGGGGATTGATTCTCTCTTGTCTATATAATTTTTTCCCCACATGGAAAAAAAGGCTCACCGGACTGACCTTACCTAATCTTATTGTTCTAATGTCACGGTGTGGTGATCACCCGGTCAGTTGGGAGAGGACTATACCATCTGTAGGAATTAGGTGTTTAGTTAAAGTGTTATTTCAAAGGTAGAGTCCATTTCGTGATAGGTAAACCTGTATTTTCACCTGTGGTTTCATGTACACATGATCACCAGGAGTGATTTTTAATACGAAGTAATTAATATAAATTGAAAAAATTTCAAAGATAATGAAGCACCCTTCCTTAGCATCACTTTATCAGGTGAATAATAACCAATGTTAGCATAAAAGCCTGGCGTGTACATCCTTTTCATTAGGTGTTGCCCTTGTACATATGTATGCGTACAAAGTCACAATAAAAGACTAACAGTTAAATCATAATTCATATTTATGACAAAATAAATCAATATTTAATTGCCAAAATGCTTGCCTAAACTACATGCACATGAAGGGCATGACAAGCATCAACATTTTAACCAAAAACCTACATTTTTACCATTTCTTTTAAAGAATTTGTTAAATGTAAATACTCTACGTTATAACATATACCCTGGAATAATACCGCACACTCAGAAAATTAATCTACCTCTCACTCGATCTGTTTGACAATGGAAATAATGTCCGATAAATTCTTGCTTTCTACGCTCGGCAGTGCTTGAAATAGTTTAGTATTGCATCTTCAGAAGAAAAAACTTTTCCTCGCTCCGTTCGGCGGGGTAAACATATTTGTCACAATCACAGGAATAATGAAGTTCTATATATTGTTTGGTGCCAGAAAGGAGTATACATGTACAACCGACATGACAATTATAATTTATTAGTTCTAGATAAGTGCTAAAATTTGTCTTTTTCCGAGTTAACAATTTTGGGCAACACCCAAAATTAATTCCTGGGTCCTCCCCTGTGGGCAATGCAATATTTATCGTATTTAATGTCATTTTGACAACATTCATCCAACTTCATATCACTTTATAATTTGTACAGCATTCATCAGAACTTCGATCACTTTTATAATCATTAGACCTAAGGTCACTTTTATAATCATCAGACCTAAGGTCACTTTTATAATCATCAGACCTAAGGTCACTTTTATATAATCATTAGACCGAAGGTCATTTTTATATAATCATCAGACCTAAGGTCACTTTTATATGACCTAAGGTCACTTTTATAATCATCAGACCTAAGGTCATTTTTATATAATCATCAGACCTAAGGTCATTTTTATATAATCATCAGACCTAAGGTCATTTTATATTATCATCAGACCTAAGGTCACTTTTATATAATCATTAGACCAAAGGTCATTTTTATATAATCATCAGACCTTAGGCCACTTTTATATAATCATTAGACCGAAGGTCATTTTTATATAATCATCAGACCTAAGGTCATTTTTCACTACACCATTCATCAGACCTTCGGTTGCTTAAAGATATTTCACAACATTAACGCGACCTTAGTTGAGATCACTATTTACATCCAGTGTCGGCGGACCACCTTCTTGCTTATTTTGTACTCTATAAGTACAGAAAATTTTAATTTTATACTAGTTATATCCTAAAACGACCTTTGGGGTCCACACAGTAATTACTCAACAAATTTAAATGATTCCTTCTTGTAGGATAGTCATATGTATGATCAATGTGAAGACAGTTTTATGTATGTTCAATGTGAGGACAGTTTTATGGT